ACTGTACTGTTGATTCAGTAATCATTTTAATAATTTATAAAGTTTTACTTGTTCGTTCAATCGATGCAATTGACAATTGCATACTTCCGTATCACGTTCTCATTGGTTAGTGTGTATACCATATACCACAGGTGAATCTGTCATACACCGCAAGTGAATATGGCATATTCGTTGCGGAATATGGCATATTTTTGTATCGTGTTCACCGCGTAACATAAATAGGGATTATATGAATTTATTCGAAGTAGCGCACAGACATCCTGCATTCCGACAGATGTATAACCTTTTACCACATAATATTACTGTATATAAGTTACCATAAAAAATGACCATGTCAGGTGATGGATCCACAGTAGGCACAACGAAAGGCAAATACCCTATACTGAAATAAAGTTGACTATATCATTTTCATGAGTTACCATGCATAACTTGGATTACAGTACAAACTAAGAAAAGAAGCTTAAAGAGTGGTCGTATATACATCTCAGAATTTGAATTGTGTACTTTTATTCCGTTTTATTTTTCAGAATACTTTAAGAAAGAGATTTGATACGCTCCCTCCTCTAACGTGTAGTTATAAAGAGATATATTATAAATCTAAATTCTTAACGTATTTCAGATTTGAAACTGCTCCGTCACAGCGGACAAAAAATTTAAACATTATTTTTTATTGAAAAAATTAAAAATACCCAATACATAAAGATCTCATTAATACCTTCAGAGTTATGCTGAAAACATATGTAAATATTATTGTGTCGCTATATTGTATCATTAAAAAGAAATAAAAGAATTGGTACATTTTGGAGTATGATACTCCGACGCCGTTTTCAATAGCTTTTACTCTTAGCGTTGTTGGACTTCAAACAGAAGTTAAAGTTACCCGCAAATGATATATTCATTGCATGGAGTCAGTAATTTTCTTTGATATAGCAAAACATATGAGTAAAAAATAAATTGTGTGGATTTCCTAGTGTTTCTATGCAAAATAGCACGCTCCGTCACAGCGGACAATTTTTTCGATACTAGCCTGTGATATTTCCACAATGGTGTGATGTGAATGAAATGCAAGATTAGCTGCTAGGTGCAACTTGTGCAGATATCCTGGTTATTCGATACCCTTCATCCATTAGGATCAATACCTTATCAAACATTGAGCATTTCACAAAAATCTCATCATTAAAAAATATCTGTCATTACTTAAGTGAAGGCTAAACACAAGGCTCCACTTGAAAAATACATCAAAGGGAAGTCATTATTAGAAAGAGAGGCGATTTGGTGCTGGAATATTCAAGTGAAGATCTTTACAAAGCATCAAGTGTTCAGGACTCAATAATGACTTATGTAAAGAGCTAGCTCTCTCACATTCATAATTAAAATTGTTATAATTACCGAATCAAATCCCAAAATTGTAGACAGTTTTTAAGCCAAATTTGATCAACCTATTCTTCTGATGAGGTATTTTAGAATCAGGCTCCATTGTAAAAACTTCCGTTAAACAACAAACTAATTGCACCCTTTGATAGACAATGTCCTGAAGCAAGAGATTAACAACAGAAACAAATTCGAAGAATTTAATCGAGAGCTTTCAGAGAAAGTCACTGTCACCGCGACATTATACTCGTGCGAGTGGGATTCCCAGGATTTAACAAAGGACCCTTTGTTATGGGTGAACAGTTCACAGAACTAATAATATTGGGGTGATTGCATGTAATATAAAAAGAAAACATTCAGTTGACAGCTCACTTTATCATCTTATTTTCATATGTTGACAATAGCGAGCTCCGGAATCTCTATGCTATTTGGGAAATAATAGGACAAAAACAAACATTATGAGATATTCATCGTAATTAGTTTTCTGCATCTGGTCTCTTGCTCGTGTTATTTCCAATTCCAACATGGTGAAAGTGAATGGAGGGGCTGGGGGTAAGACAAGGACAAGAAAAAAGGGCACAAGTGCTCTATGTAGGAAAACGATTTATGCACGACCATGTACGATCATCTTTGAATGTTTAATTATCATTGGCGTCGTCCGAAAGGGAAAGGGGGGGGGGGGTGACGGGGCGGTGCGACCGCACCTTACTTTTTGAGCCAAATCTTTACTTTTCCCTGGGAATTTCGTTTATGGTGCTAAGGAGACTCTTATGAAAGGACAACTACGTCGTATGTGCTCTAGCGAAAGATGTAGGGAAGCTTGGTATGTGCACACAGGCTGTCCATCATTGGTAAAAACACTTAACACACAATGAATGATAATAGATAAAGGTCAATAGCATTGAGTAAAACCCTGTTAAGTGATTGAGTGGCCTGCAGGGGGTATGTTTTCAAACAGCAACTAGACAACGAGATAACGTGCTATATCCCAACAACGAGAGTCACGGAATAATAGACTCGATGCGAATAGAAATAATGTTGACTTACGACTTTAAATACTCAAAATTCAGTCAAAGTGATCTCATATTTGAAATCTACATGTAAAAGTACATCTAAAAATATGGTTTCGAAAATTGTTTCTCAACTTTGAATTTTTTTTGAAAATGTGACTTCTAGCTAGGGTTGATTCCCCATAGACCCCATGTTACAAAATCACAAAAAGTAAAATATATTTTCTTGTATTGGACAGATAAAAACATTTTCTTTTAGTGCATATATCTTAATTTGCATAACTATTAGATAAATAGGGTTATATGAAAATTGAACCATTAAAACAGATCTAATTTAAGTTAAAAGGAACTTTCTACTATACCCGCCATGCTATTTGAACCGAACGAGCCACCTGGTGGTGAAACTGGTAACTACCTACCCGCATCTGCGTTATTGGACCGAGTGTACGATTAGTCCTCATGATTATGGTGACATGATGCTATGCCGCTATATATAGGTGTTTTAAAGATTATGTCAAAATAAATTCTATGATTAAAAAAACTCATCGATGTTTGGTTGATATTCTTTACTTAGATTCAAGTTCCCCTCGGAATAGTATGTAATGCAGTATTTGGATTTATGATCCAATGATCATGAACGAATAGTGGAAGAAAATATATCTCCCAATTGCTAATCTTATTTAAGAATATTGATCTGCGTTATGATAACTTGGATAAATAGATTAGTGGTTAGAAACGAGATTTATACATGTCAAATTAGTATTGATAGAATTATTGAGATTTTTCGTTCTGGTCATAGCCTAAATTGTATCTAGGTGAAACTCAAATTTTCTTTTCTTCATGCTAGAAGAAACACACAATGTTTTCCATCCATTTGTCAGATATTTTAATTCATATCATTTGTAAGGCGCGTACTAAGTTTCTAAGTTATCAGATCAGATGTGGGCAATGCACTAAAATGACAACTCTCAATAATTCAATCAGTAATATTCGGATTCAATTTACGATTTACTGATGCGAATCGACTTTTCGTCAATGGATAGTTCATTTAAAAGTAATTATGACTGAGGGGAATTTAAAACCAAAGGTTCTTAATAACTTGTCATATTCTTTCAGTGGTCTGAGAGGAGCATCTTATAATGGGATATGAGGCATCGTATAATGGGATACATATAATTTGGCCCAATATTCTACTTTAAAATTGGATTTGTTATTTTAGAACCGAGCGTCCGAGTGATCCCATTTTGATATTCAACCCATCAAAGAATCCCAATAGTAAAGAACTGATAGAGGGCTCGTTATCTCAGGATGGAGTGATCATGATTATTGCCAGTAAACTGCAACAGGCAGAACATTGAGTCACATTGAAATGCATCCGACTAAATTGCACTGCTTATCATTAATTAACACATCTTGATTCACAAGATTTCAGTTGCTCCAACTTCATAAGCAGCTTTGATTTAACAGATGTAACCATTAAGGAGTGTAAATCGCAAAATGGCGGTGGAGAGGTTAACGCAAAACTATTAAATTGGTAGGAGTAAATGATCGTCACTAGTTATTCAACGAATTTTTAGATTAAGTATTACATACATAAACATGAATATATGTATTTTACAATCTCAAAATAAAGAAAAAATTGTAATTTACAGTACAATTTGTTCTCATAGTAATCATTTACCCGTGTAATCTAACAAAAACACGATACGATAATTTGGCCTGCCACCATGCATATTCCTCATGACATCATTTATTGTGCTTATCAAGAAGTTTGTGTTTATTTAGCAAAACGTTTGGCGTGTATCACTTCTAGATGTCATATTAAGTGAATACAAAATATGCACTATGATCAAAAGACACTTTCAAGAACACTGGATTGAACTGAAGTATAACCCTCGCTTTTTGAATTACAAATATTTACTAAAGGCACTAAATGTACAGATACCAACGCTTTATATCGCCTAAAGATTGCCAAACATCTAGAGCGGAAATTAGATTTACTCTGACTTGATAAACTTCCTTGATCAGAAACACAGCAGAGGAAAGTGACAATGCCTCGCAGCTTCAACAATCTCATTACAAGAGCTAGCAACCGTGCAGAATGAAATCAATTATTAGAAATCCGAAATCTTAATATCAATATTGAAACAGATTACTACGCCGGGATTAGATGTATGCGCGGAGTAATCCTGATTCTGCAAATCAATGCCAATAATTATCAAGTCATTGTGTTATCTCGCAAGGTAGTCATGATCCGAAGATAGAATAAACGGAATGTGTGTGTTTAACTCGGATGTGAACGATGAATGGCGGTTTTATTCACGAATACTTGAGAACCAGCGTTCCATAGTCATCTGGCATTCTATTACCATGGCAACGTCGATGCCGGTTTCTTTGAGATAAGGTAGAGATATCAAAAACAGAGCTATCATCACAACCACTAAAAATCTCAATTACAAAATATGTTTGCACTTAGATAATTGAAAAATTGCTTTAGGGTTTTAGCGAAAGATAGACAAAAAGAGAGTACCTTTCAAGGGGTACTTACCATGTAAATAATGGACCACAAGGACATTTAGCTCTTGGATAATGGAATCATAAAACAATGTTTTGTTTTAGGGTCCACGTGGAATTAACAAGTGGCTGTGGATTGTATGTAGTGACAGTAGAAAACAACCCGAAACGGAGTCAAATCGTAGAGAATCCTAGAAACACTTTCACCGATAGAGGGCATAAAAACGACACCACCACGGACTAGTGCGCAACAACAGTACACCAGTGGGGAGGAAAGTCCACTCCACCATGAGCTGCCCTTTTAGCTTAGTAAAGCAGATGAGTCAGGATGGAAAAGGACAGCGACAAGCATCCATGGGCTCTGCCAAATCAAGCCCCAAGCACCATAAAAGTCCCGTGCGCAAAATCTCCAGCAATCTTAGTACGGACGGACTCATTGGGCGCAAAATAAGTGGTATCTCAGTTGCGTCTTCGTCTACTTCTGAGGACGAGAACTGTGAACGGAAACTCGGGATAGCAAGTCTGGCGGAGGCTGTCGGAACAATGATTATGCCATCGGTAAGTGGACTATGGTAAGCCTATGTTGTCAGTTTTGAAGTATTTATTTAAAACGACTATGCCAAAATTATGGAGGGAGTTCCAATTCGATAACTTTGGCATACGTTCCATGAGTGTAATAGCCTATAGTCAGTTGTTGCTGATGATGCTCTTTTCCAAAGAAAAGGGGATGATATATACGTCCCTGAGATAAGGCAGCAAGCGACCATTATATAAATTAGATTGAATTGTTTAAAATTGTTGATGCAATTTGATGCAATTGTAAGCAGCTTCATTACTGAAGCTTCCATTCGTAATTGAGAAACTTAACTAATTTAAGTGCAGCACTGTAGTAAATGGTAGATATTAGGCCAAGAAAAAGAATGGTCGACTGGTTCATACTGGTCAAAGTAGAATCGTTAAAACTTTGAACCTTTTACATTGTAAGAAAGCCATATTTTTTTCAAAATAGTGCAACTGCACCTGGAATATGAATATCATTTTTGTTGAATACCTAATATAGATAACAAATAGTGACGGGAATGGTATGGCCTTTGTTCTGCTACTCGTTCAACGATCGCGACGTAAAACAAACTTTTTTCCTAGGTCTTTCCTGACTCAGTTCTACGGTCCCTTCACAGTTTAACATTTAGCAATTTAGGCGCATTCTTCCAAATAAGCCCCAATCTTAACAATAACATATTAATTTTAGGTCCAAAAGGAAACATACATTTTTGGGGATCTTACCTAAACATCTAATTGTTGAAGTGAACAAAATCCTTATTGATGAAACATTTAAAGGGAATCTCTTTAGAGACATCGTTGATTACAATGTCGTTATATTGTCAAATGTGTGATTCCGTCACGCTGGAATTCTTGAATGAACAATGATAACAAACATAAAACTAAACTGTAGATATAACCGTATGTATTACCAAATATGCTGAAATGTTCATAAATAAAGATAAACTGGGATATTTTGCAAACGAGGTCCTAAAACATGACGTAGAGCTCTATTTTAATGCATAAAGGATCAGTTTCCTCAAATGAGTACTACAATTTATTCTCGATAAGATTTTTGATTACGGAGTCCATATTTTTGTATGGAGATTATGTTTAAAGGGTTAGCTCTTATATCTCAAACAGACAGTTCAAACAAATCCTCGGAGATGTTTTGCAGCTAAATATTCAAGACGGAAAATAAGTTTGATTGTCTCCAATAGCTTACCCAGATAAACTACTCTTGCATCCCCTAACAACTTAAGGACAGTTATGTCTCTCCAAATAAGCGAAATCAAACTATTTAAAAGGGTAAAGTTTGAAAAGAAGCATCCTCTTTAATCTTCTAAACGCAAGACTATCTACAAGAACAAGGTCCCAAAATGAGTTATTACTCTGAAAGTTAATTTGTTAGGTATACACTTTTTCACTCGTATTTGAATCTTCCTGTATTAAGCTGAATTTATCCATCAAAAGCATCATTGGCGACATTACATGTAGTCCTTGGTTTGAAGGATTTGGTTTTCAAACCCTGCCCTCTGTGCCAATTGAACCTCAATGGACCACGATAGGAAATAAAGGTCATCATCCAAATAATGTCCAGTTAAGGAGCAACCATCATTATTGAATAGGTACTGTACTGATGCCCTTTCAATTCTTGCTTCAAGACTGTGGAGTCGTTTGGACGTCACCTCGCCCTTTATTATGATCTTGCCAGCAAAAATACTGTAGAATTGTCTGTCCAATATTCAGTTGAAAATAACCTTATAATGAGTTGATTTTTCATGAACTTATTACCATATGAGTTATAGAAAACGCGAAGGTTGATGATTTGCCAGTCACGGTGAAGTAACCAAACATAATTATACATTATTGATGCTATTCATGGAGACACGCATAATCATTGGTAAGTTGTGACTTCATCAATTTATCACAACTTTACGCGTCAAATCCAGTTTTGATTTATGACTGTAATATTTAGTGAGCAATTCATCAAGTTGAAACAGTTACAAATTATCTAAACATCCTTCCTATATAGCAAATATCAAAAGAATTTTTTCACATTTTCATATTAGGACCGTCATTCCTCTCACTCCCTCTCTCTCTCTTCTACCGTCGTATACCTGGAAAGATAAATTTTTACAGGTATTAATTGACATCAATGAAAGAATAGATTACACGCCGTATTTATAATTTGTTATGTACAAGGGACTATTAGATCAACTAACATAGAACATGAATGCTGGTATTGGAGCTTCTATCCGATAAGTCAACACTTTCTCGTTGTAATTTATTTCCATTATTACAATGCAATTCTTCACTTCAATATTCTACAAAGATTTCACGCTATTGAGGCGAATACTTGTTCATCTTTCAATGATTCAAGGAAGGTGTATTCCCCGAAGGCCGAAGGGCCATTGAAATGCACATTGCAGACACATTGAATGTGCAACAGGTATTCACCGAAAATACTAGTATACAATGGGGTATTTGTTTTATTATTTACTGTTTTATTCACCACGCTCTTATTGGGAATGTCTTATGGAACAAGAATGATTAGAAATACAAACCTCCCTCCCTGCACACCTATGAAAACGGTCGATTCACCTCAAAACTCATATTACTACGTCTATGCATATTAGAATTCTAATTTCATCTGATCCTTTCTAGTGCAACTGTTCAGAACTTGTTATACTCACACTTGCACCAGAGTCCCGGGACAGTAGTCAAAAGACAAATATTGCATTTGTACAATTTGTAATATGTCACATGAATGAGATATCACCTGTCATTCTGCACCATGATCAATCAAGTACCTGATTTATTTGATAATAAACCAAACGTTCTCCAGGTCACGTTGGAACGACGCGCCAGGAATTGGACGCTCTTGAGCAAAATTGCAAAGGTTGTTTTTTATGAAAATTGGAAGGTATTCGCACCATGATTTCAAAGTAGCCATAGCATACTCACCTCCGAACGCAGGGCACCGCAAATCACCCACACCATCTAGGAACAGGATGGATGATGCGGTGCAGTGCGTTCGGAGGATATGGCAAATGATCATATCATATCATATCAAAAATGCAAATTTGCTGCAAATAGAGTAGAAATTGATGGAATTAATGAGAAAATAAATATTTGCACCGTGAGATATGCGTGGGGTCTTCACACTCTTCAATCAAACTAAAGATATTTCACAGATCACGAGAAGTAGAGTGTTCCCTGATGCCTAAACATCTCGTCGTATAAACTGCCATCTGATTCTGACTGGGTTAGATCATTCTACAGTTTTGTTAATAGTAAGATCTTTATGAAACCCAAAAGTAACTATCAGACTTTCAATGAGAGATTAAATATGAATATGCAAGATAATTATGAATGCTAAAAATGCAATGCCTACAATTCTGATTAAAAAGCTGTACTACAAAAAGATTTTGATCGACCTTATCCCATTGGGTAAGGATGGATCAAAGGGTTATTTCTAATAAAAAGACTATCACCGAGGCTCCAAAAGTAAATGCTTGAAAAGGGTAAGCGAAGTATAGAATGCAGCGATAGCGATTCTACCATCGTGATACTTTAAGGAGATTACACAAACCACAGCCATAGATTTCAATCATTTATTACACAACTTGATGTACGTCTTACTCATTAATCTATAGATACGATGAGATATACTCACACAATCAATCTGGCTGGAGTTACAGGTAAACCCCTTGGATGTTTCTGTTTTGCGAAGTCCAGAACATCCTAACTTGAGGAATTGGTATGATTCAGAATAGAATATGGTGAAGAAGAGTCTTCCCACGATGATCTATTGATGACATACTGCCCTTTTCAATAATTTCACTAAATGAGAAATCATATAATCATTAATAGTCTATCGTCTTACTGGTAATCTTGACAAAAAGAATGATTATAGACAGGTCAACTCGTTTTGTAACTACCAGTAATGAATCATTTTGAGTCATCAGAGTGGGAAACTCTGATTTAGTAAAAAACAAACTCATTCTTGCCAATGCATTATATTAACCAAGCGCGTATTGGGGAAATTAGTTATATATTGCCATGGATTATATCTGTTGGTGTCTCCCGGTGTAAACTATAATTTAAAGAACTTCTTGTTTCTCTCTTTCAGACTTTATAAAAAATCATAAGGCAGAAGTCAACAACGGAGCGCTCCTCCTGGCCATACTCATTATATTGATAATATCCCATTAAATATTATTATCAGGTTTTTGTGGGCAAATGACAATTTAATCCTTAAACAGTGTCTTCTTGAAATAATAAAACTCCCCATTGCTACCTAGATTTATTCCATATCTTTTTATATTTGTTAAATAGTTAACTTGCTAACTTAATTCTTGCATTATTTATAATTAAGTGCACATAGTCACCATTACAATGAAACTGGCTTAATTGTATCAATAGAGAGGAGTGAGAGATCATTCCAACAATACATTTCAAACTGATCATACACTTTATACCTTGGATTAACCCAAATGCCCTTGTCGCCATTGAATTTAACCCATTGGCGCCATTGTCAGCTTTTAATTCGTGACCAGCAGACATTATTTCCCATTTGATTAATAGACGTCAAATTATACAATGCCAATCATAATACCATCCTTGCTGCAACGGTATTTTACAAGTATATAAGCATAAAGGAAGTCCTTTGAAGAAGGATGTGATAGTACACCTAGCAATGAGTTCATGTACACGCACGTTGTTTATTATCTTCACCGTTGTTTTATAAAACACCTCTGTCATTCTACAGATCAGCTAAAATGAGTTGAGTTAAGTTGGGATTGTCTGTGAATTATGATTGCCGAATGTAAATAGCTGTATAATTAATCTTGATTGCAAATACTCATTGTTCAGCTGGGCGTTGTTTTTTGTTGTTCCTTTTGACATTACTTTTATGTTATGCTGGTAATATAATCAGGAATACTTCAGAACTGCAATTATTAATCGTCATATAATACAAATAAACCATTGTGTTATCCCATATTATATTGTAG